ATATATATATATATATATATATATATATGTATATATATATATATATATATATCATTATATAGGATTTTGGGTTTTGGCTGAGGCAGTTGGCGGTGGTGGGAGTTTTGCAGCCGAAGCATGATTGTTGACCTTGGGTCTTCAGGCTTAGTAGTAGGGTCTTTCTCTGCACGGCGGAGGTGGTCAAGTTGGCCTCGGGCGTGCAGTACATCGACCTGCGGGTTGGCCGCGGAGAGGCCGACCCAGGGTCCGAAACCCTAAGAGCCCAGTTGTCAAGCAAGAGGTTGTAGTCAAGTCCGCGGCCTTGATGGTTCAAGGATTCTTCGGCCTTGTTTAACGTGAAGAGTGAGCTTGCCTAAACAAGCGCTAGAAGCCACACAGGCTGCCCCTCTCACCCAAATTCGGGCCTGTGCTCGGCAGAGGTCCCGGAGCTGGGCGACGTCGTTCTAGCGCATGTGAAAGGAGCCCGGCGTTAAGCTGTCGAGGTTCCGATTGATTTCAGGTGAGATCTTGCTTCCAAACTTTGATATGGCGATTATCGCTTCACTTGTAGGTGTATATCGCATTGAAGGTGTGAGGGCCAAAGCCAGGATACCTGATGGAAAGGGATGACCCCGTCTTTGTGGACACCTACTCGGACGGCAGACCACTGGTGTTTTCACTTGGGACTGAGCCCGAGGCGGGGCTGTGATCTTAATTTCAAGCGAGCTCTTGTCGAAATTGCTTGACGCCGATTTTGGCGTATGTTGCAGCATAACCAAACTAAGTCAGCATATAGGAGGCTATGAGGTTCTCAAGAACTGCTTCAGCTATTAATCCCATGCCCGGTTCTTTAGCAGTTGCGGTGCTGTTCTTGCAGATATTCTGATGATGAGTACGCTCACGAATTTTCTCAAGATGGCCAGCATCATCACCATCTAGATCGCTACAATCTCTGTCGTTGTTGCGAAAGCCAAGCAAAAAAGCCCTAGAACACCCCAAAGCCCGAACTCACTGAACCCAGAAAGTCTTAAGACCCTGAGAACCCTATGTAAGACCCCATAAAACATCTATAAACCCAAAACAGTCCAAGCCCTTTAAAGCCCTAAGCCCTGCAGGACCCCGATGAAGCCCGACTTCCTAGACCCAACATGCCCTACAGAACGTAAATAGGAAAATCATATTAGGGAGCCCTAGAAAAGTAGGTTCCTTAGGGTCCATGTAATCAGAGAAGTCTTGGCAGGGCCTCACGGAGGGACTCTCGGAAGCTTTGGCAACGATGAAGCTGGGATCTATTCGAGCGGTGCAGGCCCGGCTTGAGGAACATGAGAAGGGGGGATAGGGGCTTGAAGGGGCAACTTAGAGGCGATGAGGGTATAGGATCTTGGGACTTGGAGCTTGGCACTGTCGGTTCTTATGGCGAGAGGTTCGAGGTTGCGCTGTCTGCTTCTTTCTCATGGAAGCGGTCATCGAATGTTCGGTCCACCATTTGTAGTGTTACTGTTCCAGAAGTGCCGGATAGTCCGTCGCAGTCTGCTGCAGCCGCAACAGCGCAGGTGCCATCCTACCTTGGCTATCCTGAAGGGCTGGCACGTGCCAACGTAAAGGCGCCTCTGCGCCAACCTCAGCTGCTGCGGGAATACAGACTCCCTAAAGGCTGTGTAGGTTTGTTCGTGTTTGCAGACCTAGCCAACTTCAGATCTCAAGCAGAGCTTGGGGAAACATGTGAGTTGTGGTGGCGATCAGGCGACTCCCCATTCCTCGAAAGGAGGGGCTGCGCTACGAAGTAGAGCTGCTGCGCTGTGCTCCCTGGCTTCTTTATTTCGAGGGACCACGGAAGCTAGCTTCTATGGATGCTACAGCTGGAGGCTGGAGGTTCGGAAGCACAGGATTCAAGTAAGAACTGTGGGATATGACGTCATCCGAGCATAACGCGTAGCAAAGCAAGTATCTGTCCTTCGAGAGGTGCAGGCGCCTGCAGCGAATGGGGCAAAGGAAAGCCAGAGGTTGTGCTGCTCTGATGCTGAATACCCATGCAGCTTGTTTGCACATCTTCGCGCTGTTCGATGCCTCCTTCTTATCACTCTGACAGAGGTTATTGTAGCTCTAATTGGTCGCCACCATGGGCCATGGCCTGTCGAGGTAAGCTCTCCAAGGACATCCGCCTTGATGTCGCAGATATTCCGAGCCAAAAATAGACTGGCCCTGCAAACTTCGGGAGGATGGGCTGCACAAAGGTTGCAGCCCGTACGTTGCATCCGACAGAGTAGGGCAAGATGGTCTTCGAAGTGTAGGGCGCCTCCTTCCCAGACGTGGGCAAAGAGATTGCGACGCTGCAGCCTTACGGACACACACTCCGCCAGTTATGCTACCAGTAACCAGTCTGCATTTTTGGCAATCTAAGCCTTAATCCCTGGAGCAGATCCTCGTGCTTTCCCTCGCCGTGCTCGCAGCATCGGGCTCAAATGGGAGGGGGCCCGAAAGACTCGTGCCTCTAAGGCAGGGAGCCTAGCGGAATCATGCGCCAAGTGCTTCAGACTGCAGCGTCCCGTTGCAAAGACTTACCCGAAGCAGGGGAGGTCCAATCGCAATTCGATTGCAGTTTTTCAGTGCGGGCTGTGAAAATTCACGCTCTCTTCACCCCAAGATGTCTTTCTCTGCCAGGGGCCCGGCCATGTCAGTTTCGCAGTTGCGGCGGCCTCAGTGGATTGCGTACTGCTGCTCTCGGCCGTGAAGTGCAATAGCAAGAAGCTCAAGCTGGCAAGAACGGCATCAAAAATTATGGTTCTGATAGCAATCATCAGTGTTGCTGTTGCGGCAATGATGACCAGAAGATGCTGCCATAAGCAACTGCTCGTAGCAGTGGCTGCAGTAGCAGTGATCAAAGATGAAGGGTATCACATGATTCCGTCTTGATGATGTCATATGGATGACCATGATGAAGATGGGTGGTGATGATGATGACGACAACGATGGTTGCTGTCTCTTCTGGTTACGAGTCGAGGTATCTGCGATCTTGGTAGTGACAAGAGGGAAATAGCGACAGCACTGTTCTTATCAGCGGGCAAAACAGCAGCACGGTGGCTTTGGTGCCCCGAGGCCTCCTGCAATCCGAGACGACGAGAAGGATCGGCTTCTGCGCCGATCTGAACACAATGCTAGGCCAGCGCTGATTCGTGTTCGGTGGGGGGCTTCGGATTTGGGGCTTAATGTTCAGATTTGTTGAATTGAGGTTCGGCCTTTCGGACGTAAGGATCTGTGACGAAGCTCCGAGATGCATCCCAGGGGGAATGAAGAGTGGTTGTTCCCAAGAAGTCGAGGTGGTTCCGGGAAGATGGTCCCTTGTTCATTGTATCCCCACAAGCTGCGACACCCGTGCATGAAGAACAAACATCCACAACGGTGCTAATCGCTGTAGCCATCGTGCAATCTGCTCTCAGACTGGCATCTTGGCAGGGCCAGAGAGCACAAGGGGAAAGTGGATGGACACAATGAGAGCGAGAGGACCCTGGCGGCTGCTCGCAACATGTATTTTGCCTCTGTATTTCAAACATGTGGGGGGAGTTTAGGCTCGGCTGTAGCCTTTCCGGTCTTGGAGGTGCGGGTTTGCCGGAATGCCCCCCCCCCCCCCCCACACCCGGAGCTATTTGACAGCCTCTCGTAGCCTTCTTCTCGCAAGCTTCCTGCCAGGATAAAGAAGAGAGACGCTTTTCGAAGGCTGGGCATGCTCGAAGCCACTGTTCGCTTTCGACTGATCTATAAATTAGGTCTGCCCGGATCGAGGCAGAGCCTGCAGTGACTCTGGGACTGGATGATACAACGTAGGGTTCGTTCCTTGTGGTGTCGTGGCAGTCGTGGACACTGTCCTGCGCGTGACCCGTCTTGTGAATATCCGCACAGCTTCTGAAGGCTTATTGCTAAGGTGACACCATGATGTTGCCAATCTCTCTCTCATGCATCCAAAGTGTGTGTTTCACCTCTGGTTGTCTTCCAAGCCTCCTTCGGCCACCCGAGACTGCAGGGAAGACAGCATGGCTCGAAGAACGTTCCTCACCTCCCTCCGGGAGCGAGAGGAGCACGGACCCCGGCCGTCTTCCAGCGCACACTTGAGAGGCAAATCAGAACGATCTGTTCCGGGAACATCACGCTTTCAAATGTGTGAGAAACATCCAGCAAGTGGAACCCCCAAGCCTAGCCAAAAGCCCCGAATGTAATGAGGCGAGAAGTGGCACTCGTAGCACAATGCATGACGATACGGAAGTGCGAGAGACCGGTGTAGTCGATAATGATGATGATGCTAAAGCTTGCACAATATTGTCGTTGAATAAAGATGGATGGGCATGGTTTCAACAGTAAACTTGTCAAAACCTGCCAGTAGCACGAGCTCAGGCGATGGGTCTACAAGACACAGGCTCCGATTGGTAATGCTTCTGCTCGCATTCAGCTCATGAGATATTCGTGGGTTTGCACTTTCTGAATCAACCTCACTTCTATCTTCACTGGATGCGGGGGGGAGGTGCTGGGTCCCAGGCTCATCAACTCGGGCTCGGCGAGTTGTTGACAGGCCAGCCCCTTCCACGAAGATCTCTGGGCCACGGACGACAGGCACGGGATGCCTTCAGACAGCGAAAAGAGATCGGAAAAGGGGACTCGAATCCCAAAACTTTAAAGGGCCGAAGGAACCTCAAGCCAGGAAGGGTATACTCGTATCAGCTTGCGGATGGGGGCATCTCCAACACAGGAGCTCGGAGGTGCGATGACTAAACGCCTCTAAATGCTGCAGCACCTGGTACTGGTAGGCAGTTCTTCCTCAATATCCAGCGGAACAAAGACCTACAAAAGAAGCTCCGGACTCAGAGACCTGGGAAGTCGGGCGCACGTGGCCATCTATCGCAGCCTCATGTCCTTCATGTGTATCTGCAGATGTTGCGCGTTTGAGACGCAAGGTGGATTTTAGTCCCTTGCTCGCAAAACTGCAGGGTGGCTCAAACTTCTCAAGAGGGAAGTCGCAATTTAGATCCAAGATGCCCTCCAAGCGACGCAACAACGGCCGCTCCAAGCATGGCCGCGGCCACACTGCCATCGTGCGCTGCTCCAACTGCGCGCGTTGCGTGCCGAAGGACGCTTCTCTAAAGCCTCTCTTATCCTCTCTTTCCCGCAAGAGTCCCCGATGGCCGAACCTAGTCCATGCAGATTGACTTGTGGACAGGACAAGGCCATCAAGCGCTTCCAGGTCCGTAACATGGTGGACGCATCCTCGCAGAGAGATCTGAGGGAGGCCAGTGTGTACTCGAGCTTCATGCTCCCCAAGCTCTACATGAAGATGCTTTACTGCACCCTGGCAGCTATAAACTGGATTTGCAAAAAATTGCTGTCCGTGTCCGCAACCTCAGTGTATGCGCCGGGAAGCTCCCACATGCATTGGTTGGAGACGTTCAGAGATAGATCTAGGCGTCTCCTGCGCCATTCACGGACGTGTGGTGCGCGTCCGCAACAAGGCCGGCTACGGTTTTGGGTTTCATAAAAATTCGTTGGACTGTGACTAAGACGCATGTTTGTATGTATGCACGAGGTAGGTCGGTAGATAGATAGGTGCATGCAGCACATATGCAGAAAGTGCACATAGTCAGTATGTGCATGTGTTAACATGGCATATACAGGCTATCTACAGTATCTACTACCAGTCTCGGTACTGTGTAGACATCGAGGGTCAAGTCTACGGAGTTCGGAGGCAGCCGGCTGAGGCAAGGAAAGCGAAGTTCCGAAGGCCCCAAGTCAAGGGAGGCCCCGAAGACCCAAAGCCGGTGATATGCGGAACTCCCCCCTCTTCAGGTGCTGCGTGCCAGCCCCGAAGGCCGGAGAGTTTGAAGCTGTTTAGGGAGACTCAGGGCGTTGCCTTTTGGGGTCGAACCTCAAGGGTTCTGTGTCACAGGTTTGGCGGTTTTGAGGGAAGAGCAGGGTTGCATGGCCTTTGCGCAAGGATTCACATTTGCAAGATATCCTGACTTGATGGCTTGAGGACGTGTCTACAAGCCACCACAGAAGGCGCGAGCCCGATTGCATCGTTGCCTTCGAAGATTTGGGTGCAGTATACGTTGGTCCTAATTACAGCTCGCAAGTGCAGAGCCTTACAATGATGCACACATGCCTCTAACCTGAGGGCGGCGGCAAGGGCAACTGAGAGTCCAAGCATATCGGAGCCACCCGGCGGAGGACCACGCGTATGGCGTCGGAGAAAAAATGCACCCGAGCCAGGCATGCTCGACGGTCTTGTATTTCGGGGCTCTCATCGGCCAACTTAAAGAGGATTGTGCTAACCGTCCACTCCCAGAAACATCGTCGCCCTGCCCGCTCCATAATGATCTCGTGCGAATTTCTGCCACCTTGAACTCATCCCTAAGCCATGCCGAGGGAGAAGCTCGCCAATCTACGGCAGCGGGAGGCGAATCAGGGTTGGCAGAGTGCTCTCGGATTGGCGATCGGACTGAGATGTGAGATATGAGTTCAGGGCGCTCGCGGCTAGACTCTGGACTCTGCATGTATCGTATGTTCCGACCACCTTGTGGTCGTTTACTGTGCAGACTCAGTTGCACTGTCTTTCGTTGCAATGTACGAGTAGTCTTGAAGGATGTTTCGGTGCTTCCTTGTCCTCACTTTGATGGATGTTACGACACAGGGCGCTGCGAATCAGGCCACATTCGCAATGCAACTGCAAACTCACAATTTTCTCGTTCTCGCTTACAATCTTCTCATTCTCGCAGTTGCCGTATCAGGTACATTCACTGACATTCCCGCGCGTAGGCCTATGATGCCATACGCCGGCGAGCGACGGCCGAAATCAATGAGCTCGACGAGCCTGCATCCAAGAGCTGAACACGGACGGTCTGAGTTCAGTCCATGGCAGACCTTCGGACTGCCCGTCTCTCACCATTCATCCATCCTGAAGTTCCCAGAAGCAGCTTTGCTGAGGCTCCGGGCCGAACGGAGGCGCCGCGGCAGGGGATGAGTAGGATTCGGGGCCGGCAAGTCAAGCGCACGATTCGCAGTTTTGCAGAAGCCTACGGCATGCACAAGAATTCAGAGGAAGTGGGAGGGGGGGGGGGGGGAATATTGAATTGGCAAAGAAGACAGGACAAGAAACAGTGGCGAGAGTGAGGTTGCCTCATCATTTCGTAAAACAGTGACTCATGGCATGCACTGCATAGCGCGCATGATCGAGGACACACACACACACACACACACACACACACACACACGCACACACGTCCAAAATGACAAAGGAACCATGCTGACAGTGCATATGCAGCCGTTTGATCGAAACGTACCTTGGCGCAAACATCACTGCGCCTCAAAATTCATCACACATCGAAGCATGTTTGGGCATGAGCAGTCGTCTGCGCATCTGCATCTTGACGCGCAGACATAAGTGCGTATACAGGTTTCTCCTGCAATTGCCAGCATTCTGTTGTATCCGTACCCAATTCCGCCGGACTGCAATCCGAGAGCTAGAACGGCCTCGTGTCAGGTTCAACGTCCAAAGCCGGAAGCATCTGAAGGCCATGAAGGACTGCATTCAGGGCTTCAGCTCTCGAAGCTCCGTCATAGAAACGGTTGACCATCACCCACGACCACCACCACCACTCCTGCCGTTGACCCTGGAGTTGCTGTCGCTGCCGCCGCCGCCGCAGCTGCTGCTCTACTACTACGACGACGACTACTACTACGTCGACTACGACGACGATTACTACTACTACTACTACTACTACTACTACTACTACTACTACTACTACTACTACTCCTGCTGTGACTACCACTACCAGCACCACCACCACCACCACCACCACCACCACTACTACTACTACTACTACTTCCGCTGCTACTGCTACTGCTACTGCTGCTACTGCTACTGCTACTGCTACTGCTACTGCTACTGCTACTACCACTGCTACCGCTACTCCTACTCCTACTACTACCAATATGAATAGACCAATCAGAATACTGCCACTACTGCTACTCACCGCTGCTAATGCTACTACTGGCTCCTACTCACTCGCACTCCTTCTACTCTTGCCCCGACTTGCCCTACTCATACCACTATACAGCAACCACCACCAACAACAACCAACAACAACAACAACAGTACCAGCAGCAACAGCAACCACAACCACGAGCCTTTGCTGTCAAAGGGGAAGACGTGGCCTGCTACTCTCAGTTTATATGGTTCGCCCCTAGCTCAACAATGCCGAAGGACGTGAACAAGACGAACATCCGGGCAGCAAAGGCTGTGCTCGAAAGCATTTGCAGTGAATGCGGGCTGTGCTCAGGGTGGAGGGATTGGGATTGGGTGGGTTTGCATCTGTGCAGGTTCATAGAGAGAGAGGGCGAGGGAGGGAGGGAGGGAGGGGAGTGAGGGAGGGAGGGAGGCAGACAGAGACACTGCCGATTTGATGTCTTGATTGTTTAGCAAGCACTCAGGCTGGAACAAGCGCTACAGAAACCCGCCGGGTGCAGTCGTTAAAATACTAATCTGCGGTGTTGCCTTGCCACGGCAGAAAGAATGAAAGAGGGGGGGGACGGAGGAGTATCAGCAAGGGTTTGCTGTTGGAAGCCTGGCCCGATCATGCCTACATCGGGAGCCTGGGGAGGGTGCCGAAGCGCAAGCTGGCTCCCCCAAGAGATGCGCGAGAGAGAGGGAGAGGGAGACACGGCTTGCACCTATGGTTTCACATTCAGAAGCTTGTCATGGTCGGTTGGCTTCTGGCATATATAATTACATGATACACACAACTTCTATGTATACCAGAAGCCATGGCCAACTGTCACACAAACTTCCAAATTGTGTGTGTGTGTGTACGCATGTAAAAACCCGCATTGCATGCACATGCGCTCATACTTGAACGTTGTGCGCTGCTGTGTGCCGTACTTGTTGCTGTTTTTGTGTTCCAGTGTATCTGATCTGGTGATACCCCGCAGTTCACGTCGCACGACTTCTGTGAAATCGAAGCATACCATCAACTGCTTGCAGACTGTACCTGCGCAGAACAGCCCCGCGGCTGTGGAAAGTGTCCAGTCTCGCCATTGTATAGGTCATCGAAGACAGAAACAAGCGCGCGTTCGACAAGCAGCAGCTAGCGCTGGAGCCTCGGCAATGGCTCCAACTTGGGCATGTGAGACTCTTCCAGAAGTCCTGCACATTTTGCACGGACATGCCCCGACACCGCTCACCTCACATCTCAAACCTCTGTGCCTTGCAGACAGAAGTCGCTCTGCCGAACAAGCCTTTAAACCTCTTGCAGACCTGAACATAGGCTGGAGCGAGCCATGAGTGATCCATGCTTGATGTAGGATGGTGGTGCAGAAGTATCGGCATCCGGGCTGTCAGACCAGCACATATGCTATCGTCCGACAACCGAAATCCCTCAAAGACCCTAATTACCATGTTCCAGTATTGATAGGGACGGATTTCTTTGGCACATTGTGCGCTTTTGTAGGCTCTTTGCTTCCAGTTCGTCTCACCAGAGACGTACGAACAGCTGAAGTGCCATTTCAGCGCAGCTCCGCCTAAGGCGATGTTTCACAGGCTTTGACAAAAAAGCGAAGTTGCATTGTTTCCAGGAATCTGCACAGGCATTGTTTCGAGCGCTTGCTACTGCAGATGTCTGAGACCCCTGTTCTACAGCGTAGCAAATTTTGGCACAAGACCCGATGATTTGTTCTTAATTAAATCTTCCCATTGTGCGCTGCTGAATGGGTCAATGAACCAGCCTGGCGCCCGGTCCCTTCGGTGCTAAGCGAGGTCGGCCGACCGCGGCCACTTCCATAGCTCGACTCCCATGCGCCTCTTCGAAAACCACATGTTTACCAGCCCGTCCCGGATGTGGCTTTAGTGATATTTCTGGTTTTAATTATTAGCCCGATGTTTCGAATCTAGTTCCTGCCTAAGTTTTCCGCCAGGTATATCAAACTAAGCAGAAATCGAACTCAGGGCTCAAACACTGAACTCTGATCAGGTCAGGCCCCATACTCACACGGTAGATCCATACAGGCGCGAGAAAGAGATGAGGCTGTGCTGGTCGAGAAACACATCATTTTTGATGGTGGGATTTATCAATAGAGATTATCGTTCAGATTGAATTATAGTGGGACCAGAAAAGTTCAGAAGTTAATGAAGGTCTACATTGTGACTTCAACATCCAAGACTGTACAGGTTTTCAGCACTCAAGATGGCTGGACAGTAATCTTGGAGCCTGCCCGGCGAGTACAATCTGTTCGGGTTGTACCGGGTCAGGTTCGAGGGTTTAGGGTTTAGGGTTTAGGGTTGTAGGGTCTTTCTGCAGACTATGGAATTCCGGGGCCTGGCTGGCTGGGAGCAACTTGTACCGGATGTGCTGGATCTATCTCTGGATACTGCGACCACTGTCACGGTAGCACTATGACTTATCATAAACTCTATCGTACTCCTAAAGCAGAGTCCGGTATGTCTTCCTACACAAAAGTGGTCTGCAAACAAAGTGCTGAATACTGACGCTGCAAGATGTCGGCCTCC